TGGCATGTTACCTTAAAATTCTCCAACTCAGAAGTACCCAACCTTGTCTGATATTAGAATGATCTGGAAATTTAAATAAAATAAAAATGAAGGCCCTATCACCAGACCAACTGAATCAAGATCTTGGGGGAATGGGGCTGGGAGCAGGATATTTTTTAAGTTTCCCAGGTGATCCTGATACACAGAGAGGGTGAAAAACTCCTGCCCCGATTCTCTCAGTGCCTTCCAAAGATAGCCTCATTCTTCTTTTTAAAGATTTTATTTATGTATTTTTTTGAGAGATACAGAGATAGCAACACACGCACACACACACACACACACACACACACACACACACACACAGAGCGAGAGAGCAGGAGTGGGGAGGAGAGGGAGAAGCAGGCTCCCCACCGAGCAAGAAGCCCAACTCAGGGCTCCATCCCAGGACCCTGGGATCATGACCTGATCTGAAGGTAGACACTAACCAACTGAGCCACCCAGGTGCCCCGATAGCCTCATTTTGCAGATAAGAAAACTAAGGCTCAGGGAGGTGAACTGTCTTGCCCGAAGTCACAGCAAAGATGTGGATTTAACCCCTGGGTTGATTCCAAAGCCCATATTCCTTCTGCCCTCCAAGCTGTCACCTGCATGACAAATTATCATTCCCTCTACCTCCAAACAGTGTTCGCTGGCTTTTGAGTTTGTCCTCAACAGCAACTCCTCGCTTTCCTTCCTTCCTCCTCTCTACTGCTTCTCTCTTTCCCTGCCCCAAACCCACAACTAGATCCAGCCAGACTTTATGATTGGGAGTTCACGTCGATGCACTGGCTCGATGCCCCTGCTTTGGGGTGACAGTAAGATAATGCCCACCGTGGGCCTTCCAGCAGGTCCAGAGCCTCCTGAGCTCACAGCCCAGCAAGTCTTCTGGGGGGTGGGAATGGGAATTTTAACGCAGAGACTTTAAAAGTCAAATTAAATATCACAGGAAAAAAGGGAAAAGGCAAAATCATGAAAAAATGTGGTCAATCATTAGTGGAGAGGTTGAAAAGACACGCTCCAATTGCTTTTAAAATTCACAGAACCCAGGTCTCCTTAAAATAGTTTTGCAAAGTACACTAGAATTCCATGCAGTAATATGAAACATAAGGCCTGCCGCTGCCACTGAACATGCTTCAGCTGGCTAAACTGAAGGAGCTTGACATTAACCCAAGGCTCTGCAGAACTCAACAGGAAAGCACAATGGAGACACGGATGCGAAGCTGCCCCAGATGTGTACATTTTCTGCTCCATTAAAATGACTTGGACGAAAGGCAAAGTACATTTGGCCCCAGAAGGAGGGAGTTGGGGAGGGACAGGCACGGGACATCCAGCCTCATCACAGGCCTCCCACTCCCCAGTCTCGCCTCCCCTCCAGTCCTTCCCCCACACTGCTTCTAGAGCAAACTGTCTCTGATGCAAATGTGACTGTGCTTCTCCAGGGCTGCCGGAGCCAAAAGGCTTTGCTATAAGTCTGCATTTTCCCATCTCTGTCATGGGGTTCATCATACCCACATCATGGGTTGGGCGTGAAATTAATTGAGACATAAACATGGTGCGTGACAAGCATGGGTTATAGTAACCTCCGGAGGAAAAGCAGATATCACAATTATCGTCACTGGAACCAGGTCACAGGAGGAGAGACAGGTGAAGGAAGTGAAGGTGTCTGAGCAGGAGCTAGATAAGACCCTAGGGAGATAAGATCCCAAGTTTTCCATATAGTTTTCCATAGAGCTGCCCTGAGGCTCCGTGGTGGTGAACCTCCTATGGCAGCTACAGGTGAAGGGTTCTGCTCCGTGTGAGTTAGGAAGAGCTTTCTCACGGTCAGCAGTGTCCAGAAGTTAAGGGATGGTCGTGAACTTCATGACAATAGAATTGTGTAAGAGGCATGTGGATGACCGTGGGAGCAGGATATAAAGAGGGGACTCGACCGTGATTTGGTTGAATCAGGCATTTTAACCACCTCTGTAAGTTCGAAATCTCTCCTTTTGAACCGTCTTTGCTTGGGAACCAATGATCTGTGCACCGCCTTGAGTTTCTGGTTTGTGTAAAGCCCCGGGCTCCCGTCTACAAGTCACAGTGTGACTCCATTGTCATGAGGGCGGAGGAGGTACTTAGTAGGTTTTCCACGGAGCTGTGTTTAAAGACTGTCACTCAGGAAGCAGAAACCTGGGATGGCTTTCTGTGGCCCTCAGGCTGTCCCGCGGTATCTCTGCAAGCATCTCATACCCGCCGTTGCTCCCCCCTAGAATCTGTGCACCTCCATGCAAAATGGGTTTGAGTCTGTGTTTACCCTGCTGGCATCCGTGTGTCAGTTTGCTCTTCTTTCTGGGTCAGGGGACATGGAACTACCTCCTTATGAGAATTGTTTACGTGCACTTGGCTGGGGATTTTGTTTGAACTGAGGGTACAGCGATCCTTCATACGTTCACAAACCTGTCGCACAAGGAGCGGAACCAGTGCCTGCCCTTTGGCACGGGGAAGGAGACAGTTGGATTCAGCTACAGCTAGGAAGAAAGGGGACAGATTCTCAGAAAAGCCACGCAAGAGGTTTGCTATTCATGCTCTCTTGTGCCTTCCTTTAGTGCGTTTGGTTTACACGCATTTAAATACTCTAGGAACCTGGGAGGCTGAGGTTACCCAGCTTTTTGTCCCCTCTCAAAGGGCTCATTCTAATGAGGGAAGATAAAAGGTTCTGGCACAAAATAGTAGACAGAGACTACCTCTGCTTGAGGAGTGCAGGTGGTTGGGGAAGGCTTCACAGAGGAGGTGACATTGGAGCTGGTCTTCAGGGGAAATTGATACCAGCATGTGCTCCAGGAGGAAGAAGGGCAGAGCCAGCATACAGGCTTGGGATCTGATAAGGCATGCTACCTTGGGAACTGTCAGGTAGTTTGATGTGTCTGGCATGTACTATGTCCAGGAAGGTGGTAAGAAAGATGAGACTGACAGTGTATTTGGGGGTCACCTTCATTTGGATAGCATAGGACGCTGGCCATGGTATTAACTTGAATGATTTTGCAGCTTCAGGACTTTCATTAAATGTGGCCAACTCTGCATGATCCATCTTGTGAATTTTCAGAACCCTTGCTACACATTACTTCCCCCTGACCACCATAGGAATGTATTCTTAAGATAAAAACTCATTTCAGATTAGTCCAAAGAAATCATAATCATGAAGGTAAATCTTCTGGAACAATGCAGGGTGGCACCTCTTTTCTTCCCCACAAGTGTTTGGGCCAATGTCAGACCAACATCTGCATCAGGAAACTCATAGTCCTGTCTGGCCACAACCACACATATACCACTGGCTTGGTTTAAGGGAACTTAATCTGACCTGTGCATTGGGATCTGAGAGGTGTGTGTTAATGGGGTTCACCTGTATAACATTATCCCTAAATCACAATGCAGTAATTCATGGGTTTTGGTTTATCTCTTCATCATTAGGGTAACTGAGCTGAGATTGAGTACAGTGCTTTTAAAAAAAATTACGTGTAATACTTTCTGAACATAAAGTAATACCTGTTTATTGCAGAAAATAGTCAAATATAAATATATAAATGTAAAACACAAAGAAAAACAAAATCGCCACTGTTATGAAATAACATTTTGGTGCATTTGCTTCGGTTTTTCTTACAGCTCGAGTTCATTTAAATGGAATTTTTTTTTTTTAAGTAACGTTTAATCAAGTCTGCCAACGTCAGTAAGCATCCCTCTATGAAAACACTTTTCTCATACACATGATAACTCATACATTTTTAATACTCCTGGACGGGACCGTAAGGGTTTCGAGGACAGGAAAGGTGTGACTCATCTAGTGACCTAATTTTGGCACAGGTATCCAAAACCGAGCCTCCATTCCGGAGACACAAACGCTGCAAGGAATCTAGGAGTTTTCTAGCCGGAATCTGGCATCTAGAGCTGACCCAAGAATGTCCCCTTGCTTGAGTGCAAGGATGAAGTACTGGCTAGCTGGAGGAATGCAGATTTCTATGTGTTATCATTCCTCCCCCAAACCTGAGTCCCTGCCAGGTGCCAGGGCAGGGACTGGGAAATGGGGCTAGAGCCGTAGTCCGGACCCAAGGCCGCTCCGGCAGCGGCGCTCCAGGGCTCCGGGCCGCTGGCCCCCTCGGCGTGGGACGCGGCTGCTGTAAGCAGGACCCACTCGGCCCTTTTTCGTTTCGTGGTTTGTCTGGGGGCAGCCAGGCCCCTCCGGGCTGTCTTGTCTGGGATACCGGGGACAGACCACAGACGGGTTCCGGGGTCCCCTCCGTGACCCGAAGGCGCTCGGAGCGCCCGGCTCACCCCGGGGTCGCCGCCCTCGGCACCCCTGCAGCCCCGCGGCGTTCCGCGGTCCCGGCTCCGAGCACGGCACGCGGCGGGGAGGAGCCCGGAGGGGGCGCCCGGGCCCCGGCCCCGGCCCCGGCCCCCGCCCCGGCCCCCGCCCCGCCGCCCCCGCCCCGCCCCCGCCCCGCCGGGAGCGGCCGCGCCAACCCTCCGCCGGCGGCAGCGGGTCCATCGGGGGGCCCGGGCGAGCCCCGTGGTGCTCGGGGCTGTCGGCGGCGCGGGGGGAGCCTCTGGCCGGGTCGCAGGCGGAGAGGACGACCCGTAGGGAGCGGACAGGGGCCACTAGGTCCTCGGCTCGCCGGCGGCGCCGCTTCCCGCCCGGGGCTCCGCCGAGGCCGCCCCCCCCCCCCGCGGCCGTGCTCCCCCCCCGCGGCCGTGCTCCCCGCCCGCGGCCCCCGCGACGCCCCTCGGCGGGCCGCGCTCCGGCTGTGATTGCTCGGGTCTGACTTCGCGCGTGGCGGGGACCCCCCCCCGCCCCGCCCCGCCCCCCGCGCCCCGCGCCCAGGCCAGAGCAGCCGATTGGCCGAGCGGCGCGCCCGGGAACAATAACAGCGGGGGGAGCCCGGGGCCGCCGCCCCCGCGCCGCCGCCCCCCGCGCCCCCGCCGGGCCCCCGCGCCCCGCGCCCCGGCTCCCGGCCCCGGGCCCCCCCCGCCCCCGGCGGGCCCGCCGGCGCCCACCATGTACGCCTTTGTGCGGTTCCTGGAGGACAACGTCTGCTACGCGCTGCCGGTGTCGTGCGTGCGCGACTTCAGCCCCCGCTCGCGGCTGGATTTTGACAACCAGAAGGTGTACGCGGTGTACCGCGGCCCCGAGGAGCTGGGCGCCGGGCCCCACGGCCCCCCGCGCGCCCCCCGCGACTGGGGCGCGCTGCTGCTCCACAAGGCCCAGATCCTGGCGCTGGCAGGTGAGCGAGCGGGCCGGGGGGCGGGGAGGAGGGGACGGGATGGAGGGGACCTGGGATGGGGGGGGCCTGGGATGGAGGGGGTCTGGGTGGAGGGGGTCTGGGATGGGGGGGACCTGGGGTGGAGGGGGTCTGGGTGGAGGGGACCTGGGATGGGGGGGACCTGGGGTGGAGGGGGTCTGGGTGGAGGGGACCTGGGATGGGGGGACCTGGGGTGGAGGGGGTCTGGGTGGAGGGGACCTGGGATGGAGGGGGCCTGGGATGGAGGGGGTCTGGGTGGAGGGGACCTGGGATGGGGGGGGACCTGGGATGGAGGGGGTCCGGGTGGAGGGGGTCCGGGTGGAGGGCCCGGGATGGAGGGGACCTGGGATGGGGGGGACCCGGGATGAAGGGGGTCGGGGCGGAGGGGCTCCGGGTGGAGGGACCCGGGCGGAGGGGAGGAGATGGGAGCGGAGGGACCAGGGGCAGGACCCCGGACCCCGGACAGAGGGGCCGGAGGAACGGGACGGAAGGGCCAGGACGGAGGGAGCAGGATGAAGGGGCCGGGATGGAGGGGGTCGGGGCGGAGGGGAACCGGGACGGAGGGGCTGGGACGGAGGGGCCGGCGCGGAGGGGCCGGGGAGCCTCCGGCCGCCGGCCTCCCCTCCCGCCCCCCCAGGCCTCCCTCTCGGGCCGGGGTGTCCCTCGAAGGCCAGACCAGTTAAAACCACCGGAGGGTCCCCTTTGTCTTCCCCGCGGCCCGACTCCCGCGCTGTCAGTCTGTCTCCGTCGCCCGCCTGCCGTCTGTCCGTCCTCCTTCCTCTCCGCCTGCCCCCCGGGCCCCTTCACTCTTCTCTTCTCTCCCCTCCTGTGCACCCTGCTTTCTCTGCCTCCCCCTCTGCTCGTCCATCTCCCTAAGTTTCCCTGCCTCTACCTGGAGGCCCCGGGTGCCCCTGGAAGCGAGCAGCAGGATGGCTCTTGCGGGACTCGCAGGTGTGAGTGTGTCTTCACAGGAGGCTGGGACATGCTTGTCCCCCCAGGTCATCACTGGACGGGAGGAGGAGGCCCGCTCACCCGGTGCCACCCTGTCCTGCCCCTTCCCTGCTGGGTGGCCCGGCTGAAGAGGTAGGGCACTCAGCACCCCTCAGCTCCCCAGCCCTCGGGATCCCCCAGAAGGCTCTGAGTGCACTGAGGGCAAGGAGCGGGTTTCTGGTCAGGGTAACACCAGACCCCCCCATCTTGCCCTCTCAGGCCCCTGACAAACAGGCAAGGCAGGTGCTCTCCTCCCTGAGTCGACAGATGAGGACACTGAGGTCCAGCTGGTCATAGGACGAGAAACAGCCCATAAGCCTCCTGCACCAAGGGCTTTCTGCCACACTGAGCCACCTTGTCCTCTGTCAAGAGAAGTCAGTAGACCCTCTCTCCTGGCTAGTAGTAGGAGACTCGGGTGCAGACATGAGAGGAAGAAGAAAGTATCACTTCCGTTTTGGGGAGCAGCCTTTTAGCTGCTGCTGGGGGGGGTGGCACCTCAGAGCCCCTCCTGGAGGGGAGGACCAGGCCCAGGAGCTGAACAAAGACACTGTCGTCTTAAGACCTTTCCCAATCTTTCCAACTTCCTTTGCTTTCTCACACTTACCCTGAAAGATGAAGCCAGCATGTATCATATTTAAATTTGGCAGATGAGGAAACTGGCTGGAAACCCAGAAGCAACTTGCCTAGGGTCCCACGGCAAATTAGCAGTAGATTAGAGCGCTGGCCCGTGACTCTGGTTCCCTTCCACCACTTCATGTGGCCTCTGGGAAGTAGGTTTGCAGTTGAGGAGTAGAAGAGCTAAAAGCCCGGCAGCACCCCGGGTTCTCTTGGATGAGCCCTGGGGGACCAGGGGTGTAGCCTCATGTACCACACCTGGACACAGCTGGGTCCAGAAAAACAGAATGAGGGCAGGTATGTACAAAAGGGAACCCTTTGTAGCTGATTAGGTTTTATTGTTTGCTTGCTTTTAATCACCTGAGGGAAGGGACTAGAAGATTATTCCCCAAGAGTACAGGCCTGAGGAAGTTGTAACTAGGTTGTAACCTCAGCTTGTCTTTGGCTAGAGGAAAAGAAAGTGTGCTTTTTGGTGAGTGTGTTGTACTCCGAGGTCTGGAAGGGCCTTAGGAGAGGGGAACCTGTATGTCGGAAGGAGGCAGTGGTCTGTATGTGACTTGGTGTGTAATGACTGTTTTCCTCTTTTAGAGATTGTTCATTCATCCATTTACTCATTCAGCAAACATAAACACTGCTTGGCTCTCCGAGCGCTGCACAGAGGCTGCGAGGCGGTAGCCGCCCTCACTAACTCCGATTTTAAAAATCGATGAAAGTCCTCATGAGTGAGGCATGGAGTTCTTGGTCTGAGAACCGTGAATCTCGAATCTATAGACTATCCATCCTCCAAGTTGGAATGTTGGTAAATCTCAACATACACACAAAAAATCTAGGCAACATCTGGAAATTGGCAGAGTAGATCCAGGGAAGAACCATGGCGCCACTTTGAGCGAAGTGCGTTGAAAAACACTTTCCCCTACCTCTTTGCTGCTTGTTTGGGAAGAGACAGGGGAAAAAAGAAACCACCAACTTGAGGTTGGCTAGACCACATTTTGAAATCCAATCAGCTGATCAGTTTTTAAATTGGAGCCACTGCCCTGGATGCAGATCTGTTTTGGAAGGTCCAGGGTGGGTCTGGGGCTCCAGTGACCCCCAAGAACTCTCCAGGGTGTCTTGACTTGAATGTGGTGGCTCTCAGAGTTGCTCGCAGGGTTTCCTCTTAAAGAGCTCGTCTTGTGGCGTCTCCCAGGTATAAACCCCGCTGGTTGTGGCACCAAGTGTGAGGCGGTGAGCTCTCAAGGGGAGGTGTGTTAGGTTTGTGAATCAGCCACGAGGAACTGATCCATCTCTGGCACCAACAGCGTGGGTTCAGGGGCAGTTTTAGGGCTACCTCGTGGCCGTTGGTGAGAAGGTGTTACCTTACGGAGTGCTTGTCCAGGCCAGACCAGCGCTGTCTTCAGGTGTACCTCTACTTGTATCCAGGAAGTGTCCAAGCCAGCCGCTGTGGGATGTCACATTCTTCCAGCCTCGCTTTGTGCCACGGCTTCACGTGTGTCACACCCTGTGGGACAGCCCTCCGCTCAGCAAATTGCCATCTCAGCCCAAGGGGAAAAAAAAAAAAAACCCCACCTTCATTGATGGTTTGGCTCCATGCCTATGCATTGTCCCTGTCACTCCTCCCCATGGCCCTGTTGGGAGAGGTCGCTGTTGATATTATTTCCGTTTCATAGATGAGGACACTGAGGCTCAGAGACTGGCCTGCTAATCAGCCACAAAGCCAGCCTCAGAGCACAGGCCCTGCTGGGCAGTCTCCTTTGTAAAGTGGCTGACGTGCGTCAGGCCGATGGGAGCGATGACCGGGAAGCTTGTAGCCGGAGGCAAGTTTTCGAGCCTGTGGAGAGCTTTCATTTCTGAGTTTCCAAGCCCATTCTGCTCTTCCTCTCCTGTCTTACCAGCCTCCCTCCTGCAGAGCACACACACCTTGCCCTCTGCACCTTCAGATGTCACGTTACTGAGGAAATCTCAAACCCATCCTCATAGAGGAACCACATAACCCAAGACTTGATTTACCTTTGGTCAGTCCTTGCTCACTCTCATTTATTTGTCAAAAAGGTCGTGAAAATGAGAGCTGCCCATGTGGAGAGCTCACTGTTATCTCACCGCAGTCCGGCCTGCTTCCGGGGCTCATGGTATTGAGTTTGGTGGTTTCTACGGGGCGAAAAGTGGTTTCTCTAGGCTCAGAGTCTTATAGTTCTGTGTCGTTCTGTCCAAGCACCTGTTTTGGGTGTGCTAAATTCCTTTTGTTGTTAAACGCCTCTTACTACTTGCCATTTGCCAGGCCCGGTGCTGTAATAAGCAAATGCCCCAGTGCACCAGCGCATCTGAGGTACCGGCATTGAAATGACAGCACGATCCAGGGCAGACAGGAGTTCACTTTTCAGGCCCTGCAGAGTATAGGTTTTTGTCGGGGGCAGAGTGGTGAAGAAGAAAGGGGCATCATCCTCAGAGAATATGTAGTCTTAGGACCTGACGCAAGTGCTAAATAGAGGTAGGGCCAGGCACTGGTGGGAGGGGGCAGAGGCGGAGGCCGAGAAAGGGCCGATTCTAGGTGGGCTGTACAGATTGTCTTTCAAGTCTTTCCTTTCCAGCTCCACTCCCACTGCCTGCGTTCAGGCCTGTAGCAGCTTTTAGTTGTCTCCACCAATGCAGAGGCCCTCTAATTGCTCACCCTGTCTCCAGTCTCTTTTCTCAGATGCTGTCAAAGTAATCGTCTAAAACACAGTCTTGGGTCAATTCACCTCTCTCCTTAGGACCTTCTGTAGCTCCCTGCTGCCTACTGAATTAAACTTCAGCTTCTCTGCCTGGCATTTGTAGTGGCCCAGCCCCACCTTGCCTCCCCAGCTTCTCCCACCCTTCCCACTTTGCCTAGACCTCCAGTATTTCATGCCATCTTGAGAGCACACCCACAGACACTCTTGAGCCAACCAAGATGGATTAATCATTGTCTGACACGGGGCCTCTGCCCGTGAAGCTCACCTTCCGGTGGGGCAAGGCTAACATGTGATGTATTTGTGGGCCAGCGAGCCGAGGGCTGTAATAGGGGAGGGGACAAAACACACTGGGAGCGCCCCTGCCTCATGGGTGTTCCCTGTCCTATCATCTGGCCCCGGAGGAGACAGAGCTGTCCTTTTACCCTGCTTGTCCCTTGCTTATGGATCCTAGCATTTTGTGTTTGGTTTCAGTTAGTTATGAATGTGCTTGGCTTCCTAACCAGCCAGTGAACCCCTCCAGGACGGGGCCCTGTCTCCCTTGTCTCTGCATCCACAGCGCCCAGCATGTGGTCCGCACCAGCCAGCCTGTGCTGAACTCGTGACCTTTGGGAAGACAGGTGCATTTATTACATTTGGGGAGCAGAAGTCAGGAAGGACAGGAACCTCTGT